AACTACTACAATTATAATATCGACGAAACTTTATAGAATAACGTATCGCATGAACTGTTTCGAAACTTCTCTCTCTCTCTCCGAGCGTACAGCCAGAATCCCTCCTCGAGTCTCTCTCGATGACACTACCGCTCGTTGTTTATGTTTCGAGAGCTAAGAGGGCAAAGCTGTGCCAGCCGCGAATATTGGATACAGTCGTATACCACCCTCCGAACTTTAGATTATACACACGTATAGGTATACATACGTGTATAATACAATACATAAATACACACATACGTATGCATATACATGTATGATACATGCACGCGAAACGATTTCCTCCAATTTCACTCGACGCATCGATCCTTCAACTATGCCCGTATCCTGGGCTGTATTTTCTTCAAGCACATCTATCTTGTTCTATACTTCTCGTCTTTTCTCTTCCTCTCCACAAATTCTCTTGACGGTCTCCCATTGCGTTATCTTTTTGCCAAAATCGTCCGCTTGGCACCGAGTTTGATGAATCGAATTCACCCGACAGGAATCTCCGCTGTCTCTACATGGTGTTAGGACAAATAATGGCTACACTTTGGCTGCCAAGCTCTACCCCGTAGCAATCGTTCGCAATAAAGTATCGCCTTCAGTTCCTGTCACCGATCTCCGATATCTGACCGATAAAATCGAACGACATCGGAAAGAACCGATAGAAATTCCAAAGGAAACAGTATAGCAGGTGTCCATGATTTACGACAGAATCATTCGCGAGAATATTAGCATGATCACGACGCATCTTAGAAGACAGTTCTTTCGTCCTGCGTCGATTTACGCTTACGCTGCCGTGCTGATAAATAACGTCTAGAAACGAATAGAAATCGTTGCGAAAAATAGGTTATTTTCGCGTGCATCTTGCAGTATAACCCGGCTTCTTGTTCATGATATTGCCAGTATATTACATGCGCCATTTTTCTTTATACGCGCCGTCTCATCTCGACGGAACATCGATATCCGAGAAAACGCTGCCCGATCAACTTTTCAAGTTACAAATTATTATCTTCCAGAATAACACGGCATAGAATATTGCGACGAAATAGTGCAGGGGTCGTATCGTCAACAGGTTAACATGTTCCTCGCGTTTAGTTCGACGGACCTCGACACGGGCTGCGGAGAGTTCTATGCAAAATTTCCTCTAATTCAGAACTACGTAAATTATTAACACAGGGGACAGGCTGTACCGATATCTTGCCTCGAATTTTAGCCCGCGTGGGTTCTGCACAATGTGTATTCGCGTTTGTTACACGTCTCAACACACGATAATGATCTACGGATGTAAACTTACTTCCGCGACAATGAAAGTATTTCACGCGATAACACCGGCAAGAATGTCGAGCTATCAATACCTATAAACTGTAACTTCGAGTAAAGCCGTGCACAATATGCATTTCATTTTCCTTCGTTCTCTATAAACACGAAACAATACCACGGATTTCGAGCCAACCGAAAGCAGAGCAGGATTTCACTCGGCCTCCAGTGGCCGCTTTATTCGTCGCGCTAATAACTTTACGTTCTTTGCATTGAACAGTTCACAACGTGACGCTACATCGACGTACATAACCGTTCCCGAAATAAAAGAGTTTAGCTGCTGACGCCAAGTGAAAAAATAAAATCGTATTCATGACGCGAACGATCGTGCCGTTTTCCCGTTATTTAATCATTCGTACAACATTCGATACAACAGGCGGCAAGCAATCGATATCTGAACGAAAATTTATCGGAATTACGGCTTTAATACTTCGGAATTCATACGCGCGCGCATGTTCCAGTGACTCTCGTGTTTGCGAACCGTCGGTCGCATTGGTGCGTTCGCAATCGTCTGGCCGTAACCGTAAAAAGTTCCTCCCGGCTACGGATAGAAGGGAAGGTAAGGGAACGTAAAGAAAGGATAGAGAACTCTAACGGCGAGCCGAGATGGCCGTGGAACCGGAAAACTCAGGTTTCGCCTCGTTTCTCCTTTAATTGCGCGTGTTATTAAAGGACAGGCGGGGACCGGCGGAATTCATTTTTCGCGTCCGCCTAAACGGACCCGACCAGTATAACGGGAACTGTTTGCCAGTTTACGCGGAATGCACGGAAATTTTCGTAAAAGGCTCGCGCGCGTCCGCCTGTAATGAAAATTAACCCGAGGCTGGTCCATCGAGGTATAATTGAACGTGCCACGTGCACTCTGGGACGTCGCTGGCATGCAACATAAGTGCTGGACGCCACTGGATACGTAGATTCGACATAGTCCATTTATTACGTAGCAGTACCTACACGTTGGAACCGTGTTTCGGCATCGCGTGCCAACACTTTGCTGCGGCGATCAACGCAACGCGACGAAACAGGACGCAACGCTGGTCGAATATCCTTCTGTGCTTTCATAACGTGTAGAAAGAAGGCTGTGGGAGTGCTCTTTCGTTGATACGGCCACGTGAAATGCATTGGGAAAACGGAATTGTACAATCCCAAATATTATCATTCCTTCAGCGGAACGAAGAAATGTCCTAATTGTATTTACGTGGCGAAAATTATAAGACACGGATTAAACTGTAAAAAATGTTTAAACGCTTCCGTTACACTCGACTTCAAACTTTCACCCTCGTAAAATCACCGGGAAACATAGACGTAAACTTTCGTCACCACCGTACGCATCACCCACAGGTCATCCCTTTCCTAAAACCCTCTCAATCGCACCTTTCTTTCCACCACCGTTCGCCTCAATCGCAGGTCATCGTTCTCACTCTCACCTCTCCTTCCACCACCCTTCTTACTTTTCACTGTCAGTCATCCCTACTCTCCACCCACTTAGTTACTTCCTCCAACGTTTCCTAATAAGGAAAACAACCAACACTAAGACCAATCACACACCAGCTACTTTCTATCATTTTTGCAACCACTTCTCTTCGACAAGAGACACACCCTCTTGAGCACAACCCTTACTGCTCGAGGGGCAGAATCAGGCAGAAACTCACCAGCACTCGTAGACTACACGTCATCATCATTCGTAGTACACAGTGAATATATCAGTTTAGTAACTAAGTAAACATTTACTGAACATCCTCACACCTCCAATCAAAGGAGCCTACACGTCATTAATTTTCCGTGAGCGCGCATCGGTCATCGTGGTTTCGAGTCACTCGAGTATTCAAGTCGCGAGTTTAGTGCCGTACAGGAATTACCGTGAAACTTTAATCAGATTACGAGTCTGCCACGATAAGTAAATGGAATAACCACGATTAAAGAACGTGTTTGTATCTCTGTGCAAATTCCATCCATGTGCACGCTTGTTCGTCTGTTCAACCGAGAATTAGAGTGCGCGCCTACCATTTTAAATAGCTTGCGTAAACACGTGCCATCAACCATAACGAACGAAAAATCTGAAATATACATACCTACATACGTATGTATGTTGCGCAGTCAAGATTAGCTCTAAGTTTGAACGCGTGGCTGTACACGCGTTGGAAAAGTAGTCCCCGTAGAGGGTGGTGCAGTTATATGCATCTGCACGTATTCCGTGTATTCGAACGTGCACCTAGAGCTGCGGCACTGGGGTACATACCTACATATTGTGCCTTACCGCATGCATGCCTTTATACCGCACGGTGAATACATGCATCCCGGCAGGTTTCTTTCGCCGCGCTGCGCCGTCGTAAATACCGGTCTGTGATTTATTCCGCGATCGAATGGCTGCGAAAGATGAAAGACGCATCGTCCATGTGGCAGTTACCGCGATCTCGAGGCTCCTGGATCGATATAATCTTCGATCGCTTAACTCTTCGAAGCACAGGATTTTACAATAAAAGAATTACCTAGTTGCATATACATCTTTTTGTATGAAATGTGTCAAAATATTATTCTACTTGAATTATGTTATGTAGTATTACGGCAAAACAAAGTTAGTCGGATTACAGATTAAAAGAGACAGAAAAACTGAATATCTCCGAAGCTTGTAACACAGTTAGGATATTTACGTGCACGTCTCTATCTCGAGGGGATGAAACTTTGTACGTTCCACGAGGAACGCGTGTCACGGTAACGATCTCGACAGAATGCAAATTGCATTCGAATCAGAAACGAAGCAGCGTTGTCGCGACTAATATTAGAGACGATTCGAAAAATCGCCGTGGGCTAGGTCCCCCTAACAGACGCGCCACCCTTTCACGGGCTGTTTCCTTCCCCTTGCCACGATTTCTCAGTTTCCCTTTGGCGTCCCAATGTCTACGACGTCTGCTTCGTCGAGCAGCACACCGCTCGGCGAAGAAATATTTGTCCACCGACCATCGGACCGATAATTAAACGTTACCGTTACGATTCTTGTGTTTCTCTCGAAAGAAAAATAGTAGGTATTCCACGCTCCTGCACACCGACACATCGTATTCTCGGGTAAAAGAACAATATTTCAACAATCAGCGATAGTAGTAAACGGAAACGCATGTTTCATTCGGTAATTTCACCGGCAAATACGTGCAAGGTGTAAATTGATCGTACCAATGTTCCTTTCTTCGTCCTTATCGCATCGAACGAATTCGGTTAATCTTGCTAAATCGCGGAACCGATACGCGCGTAATCTCATGGTCCACAAGAAATTCAATAGCGATTCGTGTAAAGCGAGGAACCACGCGCGATAAAACGTTTCCCGTCGATTCGAGCGCGACGTTATTAACCGCGATGGTTCCACGTTTAGATTCCACCCGATACGATTCGTTGCTCGCTCAGCCACGTTTCGGGCCAGCGAGAATGCAAATTTGATTAAACGAGCCCCGCTAATAACCGAATATTATAGCGACATCGAGTCGACCAATTCCCGATTCATAAATAACGTACACTCTCGATGGAATCGGGACAAACATACATTTCCTTCCGGTTATTCGCTCGAAAGCATCCGTGCATGACACTTCGAACCGAACGAAACAACGCTTTAATCTTGTTCTAACATTTATGTTCTAATGCTTTATTCTTTTTTTTGTTTTTGTTTTTTTTAGTTGCCCCTATCGTCACTCTGAAGATGGGCTCGTCGTTGAATCCGAGGAACATCAAAGAGGGCGACGACGTGTACTTCGAGTGCAACGTTAGGGCGAATCCTAGGGCTTACAAATTGACATGGTTTCACGAGGTACGTCAAACCGACTGCAGCTTTCGCTCTTTCGGCTTCATTCGCTTTACGCGTCGCACGAAGCCGGAAAATTGGCGAGGCTCTGGAAGTTCGCCGCCGTGTGTGTTCACGCGTGTACGAAACGAAACGGAAGACGAGAAAAGCTTCAGGGGGACCGTCGTAAAAAAAAAAACGAAGGAAAAGCTCCTCGATGAATCGACACGGACGGTGAAATTAGACGGGGCACTGGTGGTACTTGCTCCACCACGGATCCACTTTATTGCGCAGTCGTAAAAGAGGATACAAGAGCATAAAACTAACGTAATAACTTCGCCGTGCGATAAAGTCTCGAGAATTCGGTAAATCGTGCTATAATAGGCAGCGAAAGGGTACTCGTCTCGATCGGGATCGGTCCTAACAGACGTCGCCGTCGCGTCGAACGCGTTGCCGTTTTGTTCGTGAACGACGTACGGGGTTCCAGGGTTGGCCATGAATTCTAAGCGTCGTGGCGCATCGCGGCGACGCGAACTAAAGCATGAGTAACGCTCTGCGAGAAAACAAAGCGTCGAGAGAATACCGGAGTCGCGTCGCCAGACCGTTCCTTCTTGTCTTGACCCGCGAAAAATATCCTTGAAAACTCCTAGCTCGCACCTGGAAAGCTCGAGCGTTATCTTCGGTCACTCGAGGATCCTCGAGCTAAGCCTCTTAAGGGGGATTACGCTTTCCTTCACTCTCTGCCGTTGGGAACGGCTCGAAACTCTCCCAAGGGGTCGACGAAATCCTAGGAGCGTTGCGCGACCCCGTCCCCGTACCTTTTGTTTCGCTTACGGACTATCTTCTCGGGCTAACAGTTTCGATGGCAAACGCGCTGTCGTGCGGCGCGCGCGTTACTCGCATTACCCAAAGTTGACAACATCCCCGAACCCAGGTGGAGTAAGGAAACCTTGTCCTTCTTTCGCGTGAAATTGCTATTAAAGATAAAGAATAAGAAGAAGAAGAAGAGGAGGAAGAGAAGGAAGAAGAAGAAGAGATGAGGCAAAGAATTCGGAATCGTTGGTCGTTCCTTTTGAACGTTTGGAAAAGCTCGCGAATAATGAGACGACGCTTTGCACACGGCTTCTCATTCATCTCTGCGCGTCAAGGGCGCGGTGATTTTTTGTCTCGAAAGTTACATCACAAAAACCACGCGCGGAAGACGATGAACATTTTTCTTTAACAGCAGCGGCATCAGAGGGACGGCAACGCGACTCCCCAGTATCTCTTAAAAGACTTTTCAAATTATTAATACCGAGGTCTCGAAAGAAATCCTCTTTGCCACATCCGAAATCTCATTTCCTTCGGCTACAAATTGTCGATTAAACGTTGCACACGATTCCTAATTAACGGCTTCGTTTTAATGAGAAAAAAATTACGATCGAATGAACTCGAAGAATCGAAAGTTGGTCAGAATCGGATAGGAGAGAAGAAAAGTTTTAATAAAAGGACGCCCGCTTCCGGGAGAATATGACTCTCGGTGCTGGGTCGAAGAAGATGGAAAGAGTTTTCTGTCGTCGAACGGGACCAAGAGGAGGAGGGTGAGCCACGAGAGGTGCACGGATAATTTCAAATGTCTCGGAGCGATAGGGTGTCCGCGTGCGCGCTCGCGCGACCCATCGTGCAACCACGTTCGCGTTCATTCTGTCGAAATTATTGTATATTTACGAGTTCCCGTTGTCACTTCCCGTTCATTCGATGTTCCTCCGCCTCGCGGATTCCGAACATCAAACCAATAAATATTGCTCACGAATCACCGGGGGCAGAGCCGGTTTACCAATCCGTAAAAATGCTCGGGTAAAAACGTCCACGCGATGAAAATTTCCCGGCGAATGAACGACGCATATCTACGACCGTTCGTGGTTCGCGGGACAATTTCGAAATTCTCGCCGGAACGTTCGCGATAGTCTCGTTCGCTCGGGGTTAAATGCGAGGGCCATTCGAGGAATCAATCGAACCGAAATGAAATCGACTTTGCCGGGAATAATACGTCTGGATCCGATGAATGAAATGCGAACGTTTGGATTCGATACGGGTCGAGATTCACGCAACGACACTCGCCGATCGCGAGCAAATAATGTCGAACCAGGGATCGGTTTCTAGGCAACGTTTCGTCTGCAAATTAAAAAGGGAGACAACCAAACGGGGACGGACGTGACGCGCTAGCACGCCTGCTTTCTACTGACACATTCAGCACTGGCTAACACCGCACAGTGACATGCGGTTCAAACTAAATCCGTTAGACGCGTTACATCAAGGCAGAGACCAATTCATCAACGCATTTCGGGATACAACCCCTAGCAGCATGTTTCCGATCACACGTATTAATACGAAATTCACCGAGAATATTCATACTTTGGAATTATAAAATACTGTCAGATGAAGATAGAAGTGATGGGAAATCGCAAGGAGGTTAATACGAAGTGTATAACAATAACACAACATATACTTTCATTTATTATAGAAAAGAAACATGACAGGAAATGAAATGTTACATGGGAAAAAATTTCCAATTGAGAGGATTCCTGAAAAAGGTTTCCGATCTGATTTGTTCATTGAAACAATTTTTGGTACTAATATTTTGTTGCCTACATATTGCTGCCAGACTACATTATTTGCCTACTCCTTTCCCATTAGTAGAACTCCAAATCATATATAATTGTGGATATTTTTGACTGTGGATTATCTGCACCAATGCATATCCGTGACTCAACACTAAATATTACGTTATGTCAATCCTCCACTGCCCGTACGGTCAGAAACGTTTTGTTCCCACTGCTGATTTATTTCCCTCAAAGTTAATCATCTCATATATCTTACAATTTTCCATAATTTTCTATCATCTCACGTAGTTGCTGCTGGTGAATGGCATCCCTTTATCGTCGCGTCGCGTCGATCCGAACATTGTGTAACATTTGTCGGAACATTTTATGGGATTTCCAAAAAGATGCTCGCGCCAAGAATCGGGAAAGCTTGCTTTTGCTTTATGCATAATGCGATGGATAAGAATACACGTGCAAGCTGCCGGTAAGACACGCGTGCCGAGATGTTCCGTGGGAATAGCTGTTATCAGTCTTGTCTACTCCTTCTCCCATATCCGAGTGTAACACGGAGAAGCAAATATATTCCTTACTCGCCGCGAAGACGTATTATCGTACCGACGCGAATGCGAATATTTAACGTCTAATGCAGACACGTTACGTTATACGAAAACAGAGAAATTCACGGTAAAATGGACGCGCCGCCGTCGTCGGAAAGGAATCTCTTCCAATATTTTGCCAGACGAGCACGAGACGTGCCTTTTCTTTGCTTTCGTCACCCATGAATCAACAACGGTGCCCTCTTTCCGCTCTCTTAAAAATTCACTAAAAAACGCATCGCTTCTCGATTCCTGCGTCTGCATACGAACCTCTGTCATCAACGATCCTATGACGATTCTATACAGGGTGTGACAAAAATGTTAGAGGACCCGGAAATCGAAAACTCGTGAGGTGATTTGAAACAAGTTTTTCCTTGGCAAAAATGTTATCCGAGACTTTGTTAACGAGATATTAACGAAAAACCCCGACCAATCAGAGCGCTGGTCTATCGGCTACGCGCTACGATCGGTAGCCAACGTTACCGCGGGAACTCGGCCGACAGACGTGCGCTCTGATTGGTCCGGGGTTTTCGTTAATATCTCGTTAACAGAGCCTCGGGTAACATTTTTGCTAAGGAAAAACTTGTTTCAAATCATCTCACGAGTCTCCCATTTCCGTGTCCTCCAACATTTTTGTTACACCCTGTATATGTTTTCTATTTTACCGTTGCTGTAACAACCGCCAATCGGAACTTGAACGTAAGCAAGACCGTCGACGGAATGTTACGCAAACAAAGCCCGACCGTTAGTAAAGAGTATTTGTGTATTTCAATGCAATTGTGTCTCGAATGTACAAATGACAATAATAATAATGATGATATTTACTACCAGGAACGAAGACACATCGGTTCCCATTCCGAAATGGTTTCGAATCGCTCGGGGCATATTCTTGCGCGGTATGGCTTGCACGTACACGTTTCCGCAAACTCCTCATAACCGAATGAAACAGATACGAGGGTCGTTGCTCATATATAAAACAAGCAAGAAACTAACGTGTATTTGGCCAAACAACAGACTCGCAGGTTTCTTCGTCCTGTTTGTTTGGTAAAGCTCGTGTAACCCTCCAGAACCTTCTTTCTTTCACATCGACAAAAATTCCTGTCTCTATTGTTACAGTTCTAAATGTTGAGAGTTGCTTATTTTGGACCACTTTTTTATTTTTCTCTCCTACACAAGAATAAAACGTCCCAAGATGCAAAGAGAAACGGAAAAAATATAAGGTTTTTTTTAAACTATATAAATAGAAATATAACGATTTAACGTTTTACTAAAATTCTATTTATTTGAATTCTTTTATTGATATGTCGAAAACATTGTATCCAGATTATATCGTGTGCCCGAGGAAGAGTCGAAAGAATCAAATCTCATTAATTCGACGCTGCGCGTGAAAGTATCAACTACATCGCGACCGACCGTATTATCCGTCCATATTATACTCTCTCTGGAACCAGAGAATAACACGTCGATCCCGATGTATTCGTCTTCAGTGGGAAAATTCGGCTAGTCGACGACCACCGCTACCGTGAAACACGATTCATTGAGCGCGACGCGACCCGCCGAAACTTTCGGTTTGTTCCCGACTGGAGCGGGAACGGAAAAGCTTTAACGAGTCGTGATTTTAGCGCGAATCCGATGAAATATTCAAGTAGTCTGTTCGCCCCGAGATATTCGCGGGGACACAGGATTCTCGAGGCTCCAGATATAATCGAGTTTCAGGAATTTACATCCATCCACGGGCTCCGTTTCTGGTGACACGCCTTAGGCCGCAATCTGTGTGCAAAGCCTTTGTCAGGAACTTAAGAGGAAAATTATAATATCCCCTGTACGGAGCGAGGGAATTCTCGGGACCGGGCAAGCACGAAATTCGCGGGCTAGTCCGTATACATATCGTGTATGTATGTAGTATACCTACGAGAGCGTTATATCTAATTCGTAGTCGTGTCAAGAGGATGTATGTAAAATATTGTATTTGTAAACCGGTCGGCAGAAACAAAAATAACGGCGTGGGAGGCTATTCCAGTCTACGTATGTGGAATCATGAAGAGGCGACAAAAGAAGATGGAAGACAGAGAGGATCGAATAGTATCTAATACCATCGTAAATTCTGTTTGTCCGAACCCACGGTACAAATGACGTTCCAGGAGTAGAATCACGCCTGAAGCTTTTTCATTGGAAACCAGGGACTTCTATCGACACGTAAAATACCGGTGTCAAAATCATACCGATTTAAGTCCCTATTGGAAACGTCGCGTCAAATCGAGGTTACGCGGATATCGAATTGTTCCCAACGCACGGAACACTTTGCTTCTCTTTCACGGCCGCGAATATTCATCGAAGAGAGGCCCGCTTCTTTCGGACCATCGTGAATTGTACAATATTCTTTGTAAAGATTTCATCCCCTCGTGGACGTCAAAGTGGGTTGCGTCGACGTTTCGGCCTCGTTGAAGATTACCGCGGCTTAAACCATCACCGAAAGGTTCGAGGACTTTGCGCGAGTTTAGAGAGCGTGTTTTTAGCATAAGGTAAATTTTGAATCTTTTTCGCGTGTGACAGGCTTTATGGCAGCGGGTCAGAACGGAGGATTCACCAAACACGGTTCTAACTTTTCGAAGCTCCGTCGACCATGCCGTAACTTATCCTCGTACCCGTAACTGACAGGACTTAACTATGTACGATATACCTAACAAAGCGTGAAGCAACTCTTCTCCTTCCTTTTTTTTCTCTCAACCTTTTAAGCTTTCTCGTTACCTCCACCAGTCGATAACGCTTTCCAAAGATTGTCATTTGCCTTTCAGGCAATCGAAATGAAAAATTAATATACCTATATATGTATGTACCCTTGCGAGCAAACTAGGCTTCCACTAGGGGAAAAAGTGGCGTAAAAGAGAGGCCTTCTACTACTTGGTAAATTTATTTGAAGTACCGAAATAAATGTTAAACCGAATGTTAATATGGCATAAATTTCAGTAGTTCCCGATACCAAATGGGTCTTTCCAGTACACCACTTTTTCCCCTAGCGGAAGCCGAGTTTGCACGTCGTTGTACCTGCACGTAAAGTCGATGGGCACGATATTCTTTTAAACGCTTAATTTTACGAGAACACAATATCGTGTCCATCGACTTTACATACATTGCTCGCGTGCCGTTTCGTCCGTCTAGAATCTTTCCCGGTTGAAATCTCGACCGGAAATTCTTTGACGTAGAATCTTTTACCCGTTTGTCTATCCAGGAAGAGGAGCTCCATTACAATGTCACCGCCGGCATAGTTCTCTCGGACCATTCTCTGGTGCTTCAGAGTATAACTCGGGAATCCGCTGGAAGGTACACCTGCACGGCCGTCAATGTCGAGGGCCGTGCCAGTTCTAACGTAGTGAAGCTCGAGGTTATGTGTAAGTACAGTTCTCCCTCCCACGGCGCAAACGCCGCGAAAATAAAAAGTGAAATGGAAAAATGACTCGTCCGACAGAATTTCCGCGATAAAACTCGAGCGGCGTAAGTTTTTCCCTACGAGCTGTCCGGGTAATTGTTGGTTTTATTTCCCCCGATGTTAATGCACGCTCGGCATATTCCCTCGCGAAGTAAATACAACGCCGAATGTTTTACGACGGTTCGCGTAGCTGTTCGTTCTCGTAGGCAGAGAATACGGCCTCGGTGTAAGTGGAAAACGGGCTCCGTGCTGCGCCGCGTGAAAAACAAAAAAAAAAAACAAGAAAAGAACTTTACTCCCCACCGTTTCTAGACGTTGGTTTCCGCCACCGGTTGCACGTTCTGTGTTCCGTTTGTGTTACAGTCGCCCCTATCTGTAAGCACGTTTCAAGCCCCGCCGGTTGGCGATATCAGAACGCAACACCTCCACCCTTGAACGTTCCCGAGGAGATCCACGGTGCCTCGAAGCACGAGACCATCAGCTTGGTCTGCGAGGTCGAGGCTAGTCCGACGTCCGTCACCTTTCATTGGACCTTCAACAGCAGCGGGGATCTCACCGACATTCCGTCCACAAAATACAGCAACGAAGGCACATCGAGTAGACTGAATTACACCCCCTCGTCCGACATGGATTACGGGACGCTGGGTTGTTGGGCCAGCAACGTCGTCGGCCCTTCGAAACAACCGTGTCTTTATCAAGTAATAGCAGCAGGTTTGTGGAAACTAAGGCGCGTGGCTACCTTTAACCCCTTGCCTTACGATTTTTTTTACGACTTTACTTTCAAGCATTACTTTAACGTCAATAATTTCCCAGATACAAAAGGAATTTTATTCTTAGGGCGGGTGTATTATTTACTCTAAATCTTAAATATTAATACCAATCAAACAGAATTTCACGTCGACTCAAAGAAAATCGATGGTATACACGTTTATTGAATCCAGTTTGAAATCGTCATCACGTGTCTGACTCGATGTTATAAGGCAAGGTGTTAAACTGTGAACACGGGAAAAGTCTAACTGCGATATATGTATGCATACATTCATGCATATATATACGGTGTGAGTCAGAAGTGGGTATACACTTTGAAAGTATGGGACTCGTTCATATTTATTTTTCAAAATTTAGAAACTAACAGAGATCTGGTGACTGTAGAGTGTGGAAAGAGTTGTCCAGGAAAACAATTTTTAACCACATTTGCTGGATATATTTAGGTCACGGTCTTGTTAGATCATCCATGAATACACTTGCAATTTTCACATACTTCCAAACATAAGTGGCAATTTGAAAGAATTCCGCACAGACTACTTCGATTCGTCGCTTATAAAATGGGTCAACCTATGGGTCGGATTAACCACGATTATAACACACTAATGAGAAGACTTACTATTCAAACTCTTGAAACAAGAAGAGTCACTGCTGACCTTTGCTTTCTGTATAAAGTCATCTATCTCCCCTCTTTTCTAGCTTTAATAACACATTGATAGAATTTGCACCTTGACAAATATTCGGACCGTAAAGATCGATATTTTCGCACCTAACATAAATAACATTAGGTCTGAATTACATAGTGTTTTATACGATATGATAAAATAGTTATTATTATCATCAGGTTAAGCACCTATGTAATGTTTATTCTTATTTTCGTTCTTATTATTCTTACATCTGACCTCAATTAAATTTGATGATTTGTTGTATCTGTCTCCCGGAACGTTTTAACACTAGAACTACCCACGATGAAACGTATATTTACATCCGTCAGATCTGTAATCATGGGAACCTTCTAAATACATTGAAATTCTTGAATTAACCGATTTCTTCATTCTCATATTATCGTGAAACTACTGAAAGATATGAGAAAGCTTGTGGTAACATTTTAATCAACGTTACAATATTCTACTAACCAGTAATTTTTACTGCTTCGGTAGTTCTAGTGTTAATCGCATATTTAAAAAGAAAGGGTATTACCCGAAAGAATGAAATAAAATGAAATTACACGAGCCTCGCCATTGCAAGGTGCACACTTAGTTTTGACTTTCACTGTACGTAATACACATGTACATACAATATATAGTATACGGGAACGAACGAGTAGACGTTAATTACTCCGACTAGCGGTACGCGCGAACTAACGAGACGCGAACCCGTTTCTCAATTATTCTTTGGCCCGCAAACGTTGTCGATAACGCGCGCACCGTTTCGTTTCGGGCGAATGTAACGCGTAGCGCGAACCGTGGACCGAAATTCTCCGGGGACACACACGAACTGAAAGAAAAAAAAAAAAACAAAAAAAAGACCCCCTGTTGTCTCCATCTGCTCGTCCCGTCGAGAGTTCGTGTCGGTTGCGTTGTGCGCGTTTTTTGCGAGAGTTTAATGAAAACCATAATTGAATATGTTCATTACCGTGTACGCGCGACACGTGTGTATTCGAGCTCGGTACCGCGGTGAACGTAATGACCGAATACTTGCCGTGGCTCCGGGAGAGCCGAACGGACAAAATTATACCGGGACACGTCGAATATCCTCGGAATTAGTTTGGTCCGTGCCGGCACGAAGGGATCATCGGTACAGCGAGGTCGATAGTTTCCCTTCCTCTCTGGCGACTCTCAGGAGGTACGTAATTGGACGGATAATTTATTTTCGAGGGAGAAGCAACGTATTTCTTATGTAATTACCGGACAGCAGCTTTTTGCGGAAGAACGGCCAATGCTTGGCGCGTGGAACCAACGCGAAACGCTACGCGTTACACCGCTAGCCAGCCAACCAGTGGCTAGTAATGAAATCGTTAATTGAAACGATGACGCGAAGCGGTAAATGGAAGCGGCAACGGATGACGGAGATTTTCCCCTGGCTTTGGTTCCGGCTTCGGTTCCGACGGCCCCGAGAAAATCACCTAACCCCGTTAAAGGATAAATTCGAGAAACTTATGGGCACGTTGAACTCGTACACGCTCGACGAGCGGAATAACCGGAGAATAAAATTGTTAAAACAATTCGCGAGCGTGCACGAACAAAGAACTAAGCGCACCGGCGTTGTGTACGTTAATGAAATTACGAAGCATGGAAGGGAAATGAAAAAGGGGGGCGGCAGAACGGAAGGGATTTTAAAAACAAAGGAAATCTGTTTTATCGTGATTCCACTAATTTGCGCTGCCGCGAACGATTATGTACACTCGACGCGCGTGATACAGGGAAATAAAAAGAATAAAAAAAAAAACATAACAGGGGGCCGATCGCATTGTCCAACGTTTCCGCAAGCATTTTCCGCTTCCTATTTGCATACAAGTGATCTCGTTAATGCAACACCATCGTCGATAATGATGGCCGTGGAACATAATTTCATTGGCCACAAAATAGCGCAGCATCGCGTTGCAATTTTCGTCCCGTAAATAAAATGAAGTTCCGCGACTACGCCACATTTTTTCCTCGTTTCGCCGCAACCAGCGAAATTGTACCGTAGATAAGTATACACGTATCTACGACCCTTCGTTGCTACGCCCGCACGCGGCGGCGTTCTCACGAAAACGGAAAAATAGAATATGCGCGGAGGTGCCTGCGTCCCGTAGTTCATAAAGGTACCTATTATCTATGTATACGCGACGAACGAGCGGTACACGCATTAAACAACGATGAGCTCGCTCGTGCTTGGTACGCCCGTGGCAATTTACCACGAACCGAATTCTCGGTCCCAGCTGAATGTAATTGAAAGTGGTGTTTCCCTCGTAGGCAGACCGTACCCGTTGCAAAACTGTACGGCGCACAATCAGACCGGTTCCTGGATCAGGATATCCTGCGTGGAAGGATACGACGGCGGTTTGCCCCAAAAATTCGTCGCGATCGTGGACAAACTACGTTTGGAGTCGGCGAATCCTTATTGGGAGCTGGAGCTTCACAAGCCAACGACGATCGCCCTTTACGCGGTCAACATGAAGGGTTCCAGCGATCCGGTGATCATGGAACGGGTGTCGTTGAAAGGTGTAGCCAAGTTTACCGGTGCGTAAGTACCACGAACTACCTCGACAACAGTTGAACGGAAAACGCGAATAGACGGACAGAGGCAACAATATCTTCGAGTCTTTTCGAGCGTAGAATAATGGACGCAGCTCTGATCTCTTAACGTCTATAAAACACCCTCTGTCTATTCTCCTTTCCGTTCTTTCCGTTCGTTAATGCGTTCGCGCGATTCGTCTTTTCAACGACTAAAGGACGGCTAGGTTTAAGTAAATAAAATCGATACTGCTTCGACCAACCCGCCTTTCAGTACCTCCATACACACGGCCGTAGCCCCCTTTTACGTTCGACGTTACGAAAAACTACCAGCCGGTAGCCAAATGAGAATTGGACGCAATCCTATTTTGCCTTTTTCCGCGTACCTATCGTTCCTCTTGCACTCGCTATGCACGGTCCACGGTGTACGGCGTTATGCAACCCTCGATACACCTCGAGTTCGAAAACACATGCACATAACGGAAATGAGAAAAAGCTAATGCGTGGTACGTATCAGCGAGCACTTTTACCTCGATTATTTCGATATAAACAATTAATTATCCATGCATTATACTCACGAGATTATCACAATATTTCCGTCGCAGTAATGTTACCGTTCAATTTCAGCATCGATTCCACGATCCTGTTGGCCCCAATGTTAATTCATCGTTAAAGGAATACTCGATCAGTGACACGGTTAATAGCCGTAAAATTCTTCCAACGGAGGAGATAAATAGAATTAACTATTAATCTCTGTTGAGAAACGTGGGAATCTTTAGACACGGCTGAAAACCATACTTCGAAAATGCAGGAACAAAGGAATAGTCGATCTCTAGAAAATCCGGAAACGAGTTCCGGAATTTATGACCTATTATTATGCATTCTGTTTTCTCTGGAAAGTTTCTCGGGTGGTTTCTATGCTGAAAATTCCCCGTGCTTCGACCGTCCTCCAATAGAAGCACTGTCGGAGACAGTAAAGTTCACCCTTAATTTCTCATCGGGTTCATTAATCTTTCAGAACAACGAAGACGCACATCTAAAAGAACCGACGGTGGAAAAAGGTGTCGCAAAAAACCAGGCGAAATTAAAATATGCGACGAGCATTACCTCGACCGTGTACCGTCCGCAACGATTTCGTAAAGCGACGATTAATCTCTTTCGCGAACGCAGAGTGAACCGCATCGAATCTGGCAAACGCCAGAAACGCACACGGCCGCAACGAGACGCGCGGTTTCTTCGTTCGGGGAATCGAGTATACGAGGTAATGCTCTGGAGTCGAGATGAGAATGAGAAGTTGCAACGTTCGTTACCTGGGTTTGTGGGGATAGCAGCGTGTGAATTAATAAACACGTTAATCGAACGACGCCAAGCGTTACCGCCTCCTCGAAGTTTCGCAACACACCGGAGTAAGACCCTAATTGGAAGTAGATTAGGTTCCCCAGAAATTTCTCGCCGAAATTCGACCGCGAGCGTTCCTCGACGAGCACGAATGACAAATTGAGTGAATCGGTGGGAACTGTCGTGTATGTATTTCGAAGCGATTCGTTAGCACGACAGGGATCTAACGAAAACGCGTTGGTTAATTCGATGGAAAATACAAATTTGGGGGGAGGGAGGGTCGATTTGAAAAAAAAAAGAAGAAACATTGAATTTTAATCGCGAGGGCACTGTTGGATGAATCTTCTGTGTGTAAGTAGAACTGGTTGGAGATTTTGTTTATAGGAGAATCGGTGTCTTCGGTGGATATGTCGCCGATCCTGATTGGTCTAGGGGGTACGGCGACCGGATTGGGGCTAATCGTGACCGGAGTGCTGATGGCGCTATGGAGGAAACACGCGGCTACCCCGGCGAAACCGAAACCACCCCAACAACCAAGCATCGCGACCTTCGCTGGCAAAGGCGAAGAAGAGGACGGGAACCCCGATCTCATACCCACTACGGCCTTGACCAATCATTTTACGGGTAATAACGTCTTCCGTTACAGATCCCACCAGCTTCGAACATCGACAATTATCATGCTCACCGAATGAAACTTGAAGATTTCACTTTAGATACATGTACATATTAGAGTGGAGTTTTTTCTTCCACTCAAAACCGATGAAAGCCCTCCGTTCAAACGGGAAACGCAAATGCATTGGCTCCCGTCTTCGACCACAATCGGATGATTGCAAAACTTTCAAGACAATTGCTAGCTGGGAACGCGCCCGTTGCATCGATTCGCGAGCGCATTCGAGGCGTATCGTTTTCGAACAAAGAATATTTATGTTCCCTCGGAGGGTTTCGATCGAATGACGCGCGAGCATCGCAAGAAATGATACATGTAAAATCTTTTGCTAAACGAAACATACCTTCTCGTCGATTCCCTCGTCACGCCGCGCCATCAGACTCCCGACAAATCCATTATGCGACCGACGCTAAGCTTCCCTGGAACTTCTTCCAGATAGGAAGCTTTTGCATTACGGGTCCCTGCCGCGGAGGCCGCGTCAGCTGGAAGGCCGAGAGATGTCCCACGATGTCGTAGAAGATTCGGATTATCCGCGAGCATCGCCAAACGTGAGTAATCGGATTTCATTCCCGTTTCGTTCTGCAAGAAACAAGGGCGTGCGATTTTAGCGATAGATCGGTATCGGTGGGAACGAGGGCTCGTTAAAGAACGTTCCAGCGATACCTAATCGGAACCGTTTTATTGCGGGGGAGGTTCGTGTCGCGCGCGATAAATCTCGTCGTAAATCGGGCGAACCTCTCGGTGGAAAATATAATTTCGTGACCAACCGTGACGGTTAACATTGTATATTTGTCTACAGCGGAAGCGTTCTTTTGGCTTATTTGCAGACGTTTTACAGCCTCCAAAGACCGCACCGATATTCGGAAACGGTCATTCGGAGCGCCGCGATCCAGGAAAGCTGCATTTAGGAATAACGCGTCAGGGAGTTAACGAAACGAAATGTAAAGGAGGAAAGGAAATGAAAGGAAAGATATAAACGGTCCTGTGATGCCTCGATCGAGAAGACAAAGCTATACCTGGGACGATTAACCACGGGAGCTGGGCAGAGACACTCCCATTTGATTGGGCTCTCCGCAACAGACAAAAATCAAAAAGACTAAAGCCATGCTTATACCACATTGTACACGTTTAAGCGTACGAAGATATTATTAGCCACTCGATGATAGTATACCTTTGTAAATATTGTATATAAATAAAAAAAACACATCGATTTCGTGTTACGCGGATTTCCATTATATTTGCTATTCCACGACATTACAAATATTTTGTATCTTTTTAATGATTTAATCGATTCTGTACCGGATTTATCGCCGTCCCATGTTAAAGTACTTGGAAACTAAAAAAAAGAAAAAAAAAGAACGAAGAAGCTATTATCGTATTCAGCGTCTCTTTCGGATTTGCTTCAAGCTTCGTGCTATTTTCGCGAAAGATTTAATGCACCCGCGGACGTTTAATGCGCCCGGTAAAAAGGAAATAGCAGTATCTCGTACGATAGCCGAGAACAATGCTTGGAAACGTATATCCCCGAGACAGAGCAAAAGGTGATCGCATAAACTCCGACCGGTTGTCTCTGAAATCCAGGCCAAGGAAAGGATAGGATTTATAGTGGCCCCGTTTCACGATAATCTTTTGCTTCGAGACACGAGAATCTCGGATACCTAATGAGAGCTTTCTTCTATCCGTCTTCTCTACTTTACAGCGCAATCTCGGTATCTTTCGCCGGCGATAAATGCATCGGACTGACCTAGTCGGGTTAGCGATGGCCAAAGTATCTTCGATCGAGCACATAATTTATCGGTGAACGCACCAGACATCCTCGCAAATAGGGCGCGTTGTCCCAGCGATAATAGTCAACCGTTTACTTCGCGAAAATATTTGAAAATTAGGAATGGAAGCTGAGAAGCCCTGGGAAAGTGGATCTTTTCGATCGTACTCTTAAACTCCATCGAGAACGACCTACATAACATGGAAGTTTAGATAATTTTTACTAACTCTTACGGTGGCGACAACACGATTACATTTTTTTCGGTTTTCTTACTTTAGTGTATATAGATTCATTGTTGGATTCCTAAAACAGAAGGTACGACTCCTTTTCCTTTTTTAATGTATTGAAAAATTACGTGAATTTCGAATCAATATGGTGAATTATCAATCGTTGACGAGTAGTAGCACGTACAATTAATATTTTATATTAAAGTATGGAATCTAAGTACGGTCTTAAAAAACCCGTGTGCCCAGGATCCAATGATTAAAAGAACATGTGACGCCGTCTATGAGAAAATGTGTGTCCTACCAGCCAATTAGTTTCCCCTCCCTTCTATAAGATGGCAGGATTAGATCTCAGACTGCAATCATCTGTCAGTATGATATGTCCACTAGTTTGAGTGTTACACCACGGATGACGCCACCGGTCAAATAACCTCCTTTCATGGTACAAAGGGTACAAATGATCATAGACATGTACATATAAATAATAGACTTGATAATAGATAGTTGCTGACCATTTCATCATTTACTTATTTATAGGGGATATGCAATCTTACGAAGAATCGCTTGATGAATTGGAGAAAAAGGAACAAGAAAATACTTGCTCATTCGCACCAACTTTACACCGTGTCAACTTACCTCAGCCATCATATTCAGGTATACATACGCATACCCAGCTAGCACATGACGCCTAATGACGCCTTGAAGACTGCTTAAAGGCACCTTAGATCTAAAATAGCCGTAAAATAGACGTTTTCAAGGTATCATGTGCTATCTCGGTATACTATCAAAGTTATCACTACCAAGGAGAAGACGTGAGATAAAACTCTTGAATTTTTATGCGCTTTTGAAGGATAGTAGTTCAGATGAACCCTATTCCAAATCTACAAGGGTAGGTGCCAACCCTCATTGATATTCAAGATAATTGATGTTAAAATAGTAGGAGATAGTTACATACAATACATATCTAAAATTTTGAAGTTCTGATACGGAAGTCGGTGGCGCAGCAGCTGACGTCAGTACTTCTCCACTGGACCGGCCCGAATGCAGCAACGTATTTAGTCGAGACACTAACGCCGTACGTCAAAGACAATTTTGGACCGGTGGCGCCACCCGTGGCGAATCGCTGAAACTGCTAGCCTATAATTGGCTAGCAGTTTCAGCGATCCACCACGGGTGGCGCCATCGGTCAAAACAATAGTGCCACGATTAAATGCGGTTTTAACAGTGTTCTGGACACTTATTGTTATTATCACTGACAGGGGATCAATCTACGTTCTTTCAGCTTCAAACTGAATGCTTGATCAAGACGTGACTTGTCCATAGAATGTTGGAAGAGCTATTCAAAGTGAACTAAACGGGGTACGCATGGCGAGATACAGTGTCAACCGTTGCAAACAAATGCGATTTTAACAATGTTCTTGTGATTACTGGTTTCCAGCCGTTAGAGAATAGTAATCTACATTCTTTAAACGTTGTATCTAATGCAAAACGAACAAGAATCATGCCCGTTTAGCGGTGTAAGTGCGAACGAAATTTGTTTCAATTAGAGTTGCCGCCACATAAGGGGCTACGGTAATACAGGCATAACTAATTTTACTAATTCAGGGGTTCTGCACTATTGGGTCCATGCATTAAGTACTGAGGGACAATTTGAGACTAATGGCGTTCATTTTAAGTGCTTAATTACTGAGATATATGCATTTTTCCATGACTAGAAAATTTTCACTGATCTGTCGATATAATTTGGCTAGCAGTTTGAGCGAATTGCCACGGGTGGCGCCAGCTGTCGAAAAAATAGTGGTATTCCGCAATTAAATGCGAATTTGACAGTGTTCTGGTCGTTTATTATTATTTTCAATGACAGCGGCTTAATCTACGTTCTTTCAGCTTCAAACTGAATGCTTGTTCAATACGCGAGCTGTCAGCATAACGTTGGAAGAGCTATTCAAAGTGAACTAAACGGGGTACGCATGACGAGATACAGTGTCAACCGTTGCAAATAAATTGTGATTTCAACAATGTTCTTGTAATTACTGGTTCCCAACCGTTAGAGAGTCTTATTCTACGTTCTTTAAACTTCGAATTTAATGCGTGACGAAGAAAAATGATGCCCGTTCTCACAAGTATTGGTTTCTAACTTCGTTTATGAAAATACAAATTTCAAAATCTTCTCGCGCCACACGTCTAGGGCAGTTCTGTCCTGAACT